ACCTAGGAAGCCTTTGATTCCTCTTTCTTTTGCTTGGACATTTAAATCTCCACTTTCAGCGATCCTAGAAGCTCTTGAGAATCAAAATCACTAGCTTTCTCCCTTTCTCTCAAACACGTTCTTTACAAGTAAATGGGAGAGAAGATCCATTAACTAGCTTTGAACTTTCCTAACTTGGCACTTTTGGTCCTTCCTTGCAAAAAGGTCTTTCAAAGTAACCCCAAACTAACTTAGAAGCTTCACCTAACTTCCAAAAGGGTCCATCTCTATCTTAATCTTCATAAACTTAGTTCAAGTTATTAAGTTGATCAAATCTCTAGTCAAACCTAAGTTTCACCTGATTGTCACAAATGACCCTTTACTTTTAACATGTTATTATTTTCACTTATAATTTTCTAAACTTCATAAAAATTAATGATATAATTATTCATTGGTGATTTATCTATATAAATCATATTTCATTTATTTATTTTGTTAATTTAAGACTTCGGTCTTAAATTTTAGAATGTTACAGGTTTCATGAAAGTGTAAGTTTTTTATATAAATTTTTAAACGAAGTTTTAACAAAAAAAAAAACAAATTTATAACTATTTTGTAAATAAGTATAAAAAAGTTATAATTTTTTTAAAAAGTTATAATTTTTTTCAATAGCTTAATTGTCATAATTTTAACTTAAACACATAGATGATGACATTCTATAACTTTGATGATCAATTAAGTAAAAAGGTTTTTATAGAAATGAATAAACCTGAAATAATTGATCATAATCGAGAAATGAAAATAAAAATAAGAGTTCAATGATTTAGTAATCAAGATTTAAACTTAAATGGTTAAATGATGGGATTCACTGAAAAAAAAAATCACTTTCGTTCAAGGGAGCTAATTTTTCCAAGGAGATTTTTGATACTTCCACTTAATTCCACTTAATATTTTATGCATAGACTATTATACCCTTTAATTTAATTTATTTTTAATTTAAGATAATGAAGAGAGAGAAAAATCTTCCCAAACTATATATCCTTTGTAGGTGCAAAAATTTGGTTTCCTATTTAATATATATGATAGATTTTAAATACAAAAGCTTGGATTTTTTTTTAAACGGCTCTTGGAATAATTTCTTTTACATATTTTTAATTATAAATAAAAAAAATCTGCATGCTACCAATATTACATAAACTAGTTATGTAACCATTATTATGCATTGGTCTCTTGTAAAATAAAGTAATTATGGTGCAATGATCACTTGTAAAACATATGTTTACAATACTAACATTATTAAATTGTAAAGAGAACTGAGTTGCCAACATGTATATTTTTATAAATATGCAGAAATCTGCAACCAACTTTTTCATTGTAAAATAACAATGTAAAATAAAAACAATTAAAAATATTTTGGAATTAATTAATTAAAGATGTCATCTTAATTGGAATCTACAAGTCATTGCTAACAGTATAAATGTAACAAAACATAAGAATATTTTCTAACAGTTGACGAATGAATTAATAAATTAAAGTGGCATCTTGGTATGAATTAACTAAAAAGTACATAGCCTTTCGCCATCTATTTCCATTCAACAAAAAAAGACAACTTCAAAATAATAAATATTAAATCATAAGAAAATTAGTCCAACTAAAATATTCAAACTAATGCATATCCAATATTAAAACTACTCTAATGGTATATCATCACTTGAAAAAATTAGATATGCATTTAAATCAAGTAAGTTGTTTTCACGACTTATATCATCAATATTATCTGACACTTCATTGTTCATTTGAAAGACACGGGTAGAACTTGAAGCTTTTTGTATTTGTGATGATTCCACAAACTCAAATCTTGAAGGGTCTCGTGCGGTAGAATTTATTCATCTTTTCTTTTTTGATTTTGGAGGTCTACCCTTTGGTCGACGAATCATAGGCTCAACTAAAGTATCAGATTCGGCCAAAAGTTTAGTAATCATAGATTTAGCAAATTCTTTCTTACTTTGAGGCCACATTTGGTATCTTGAAGACAACTCACTAAGCAACTCATCAAATTCCTTGGCTCCATCATTATGTATACCATCTTCTAAATTCAAACGCAACGTATCAATCCTCCACTGTGGATGAATAAGATCCAATGAAAGTGTCATTCCTTTTAAATGTTTTATCTTGTGAGCACAAGGAAGAGCCATGGTTGCCATAAAATGACCAGTACAAGGAGTCATTGTACCTAAAAACCAAATATAATAAAGGTTAATGTAAAAAATAATGTTGTGCAAATGTAAAACTATAAACTTTGTAAATATTACCAGTTTTTATTTTTTCATATTGCATATGTATCTCCTTTAATGCAAAATGAGATACACGACACAAAAGCTCTCTAAAAACAGGTGCATCACAGTTATGAAGAACTTGGATTCTCTCACTTGCGAGTTTCACTTTAATCTCGTTGAATTCATGTTTGATTGCGAGACAAATCTTTTCTGTAACGTCTTGAAAGCCACCTGTAGATACTTGTAGATATTGTTTCAGTTTGGCATGAGCACCTTCAGCCCTTGACGATGACCGATTACCAAAATGCAAATATTTTTCTGTCCATGCACTAACAAACTTTTCCTTCCATGGCAACCATGTGCTTTTTATGTACTCAATTACAACTTTCTTCGTCTGATAAAACAACTCAAATTCACCCCAATTATGCTAAAAAATAGTTGTAGTTGTTGAATATGCTACATTATTCCAACTTGACATAAATAAATTAAACTCTTCTGTATGTGCAAAATGCTTCTTGCAATTTGCCAACACATTCTTTTCAATATGTCAAATACACAAAAGGTTTGTCGTGTTCGGAAATACCATATTTATGGCATTCATTAATGCCAACTCTCTGTCAGACATAATCACAGACGGTTCATGGTTTTCAAGAGTCTTCTTAAACACACTTAATGCCCAAATATAACTATCTTCATCCTCCCTCTCAAGAAATACAAACCCAGAATAAAAAGATGTATTAAAACATGAAACCCCAATGATGTCAAGGAGACGCATGTTATATTTGTTGGTTTTATATGTACAATCCATTATAAAGATATTAGAGAAAGATTTTGCCAATTTAATTGACAAAGGATGTGCAATAAACAAATAGGTTATATGCCCTATTGAGTTATGTAAAATATCATAGATAAAACCCTCTTTTTCAAACTCTTCAAATAAAGCACTAACCATTGATCAATTGCCCAAGTTTTCCTTGCGGATTTTCGCCTTCAGATTGTCTATAGTTCGAGAGACTGTTGGAAGGTTTGGGTTTCCTTGATGCAAAGAAGAAAGAATTTGCCTTGGGGGTATGCCAGAAAGCGTCATGTTTTTGACACTTTGTACATCATTTGGTGATAATCGACGAAATGATGGATGCCCAGAGATATCCGTAGATGGTTCATGGTTGTGAGTCAAGTTTTTTGCCTTAAGTACCCAAACACCATCAATTCCTTTTTTACCTACAATCTGGAAGGGGCAATTAATCAAACGAGATCCAGTGTTCTTCTTCCTTTTATCTCCAATACACATTCTATCTCGATAGGAACCGCCTCGATCACATTGTAATGTGACATATTTATCTTTACTTGAATCTCTAATAGATACTCCATATCCTTTAGCATAATAAAAATCTCTTACACTCTTTAGTAATTCATCATATGATTCAAATTTCGAGTTAGCTAAATAGAGTTCTTCATTTTGTACCGTAAAACTTGATGAATCCATTCTCTCTGTTCAATCAATTTTAACACAATCAAACATCACATTCAAGTTTAAATCAAAAGGTTAACATAATCAAAATCAATTTTAACACATTTTGAATCATAATCAATTCAATTTTCAATTTTGAATCATAATCAATTCAAGTTTAACATAATCATAACCAATTCAAGTTTAACTGTGGAGTTATTATATGGTGTTAACATAATCAAAAGTCTAAAATATAGCTTCGTTAAACAATTGAATAATTCTCTTTTAAGGTAAGCAAGCCAAAGTCTTGCTATTTTTTTTCATCTAACCTTCACATTTAAAAATAAAAATTGAGCAATTGAACAATTATTTTTACTAATGAAAAAATCGATACAAAGTCTTTTTACATGAATGAATGTGCTGTTGTTGAGATGCTTAATTAAAAAACTTTTTATTCAAAGAAAAATTACGTATTCAAAATTTAATATTTGTTGTTGATGCATGTAATTATTCAAAGTAAATTTTTTAGGGTCACCACTAGCATGTGGCCCACAGTGACTTTTCTATTCCTTTTTTTGTGATATGAAGACGTCTTAATCTTCATAACCCAATCATGATGATACGAATTGAATATTGACATTTTATTTAGTTATTTATAAATTTTTTAGTGACTAATAATAGAGATTTTGAAGGTTACCGATTCAAAGATGAACGGAAGTAGCCGCTGATGAAGATCGTCGTGCCGACTGTAGATTTCCAAAGCTTGATCCTGCGTCGTGTATGTATTTTTGGAAAAAGAAAATGGGTATATATGTTAGAGATTATAATTCACGTAAAGATAGGTGAGATCCCATATTATCAGCGTCTTATATTAATTATCCATATATTAATTAAATAATTAAATTAATTGAAGGGTATAATAGTCTATACATAAAATATTAAGTGGAAGTATAAAAAACCTCCTTGGAAAAATCAGCTCCCTTCGTACAACTTTTGATTGTTAATAAAATGAAAAAACACATTTCCTAAATTAAAAACTAAAACGACCGAAGCTGTCATTTAGCTATTTCCAGTTAAAAGTTATATATACTGATATCATTGATTGCCTTGTATCTATAAAACATTCCTATAATATTATCAATTTATCATAAACAAATTTATACATATTACATTTAACTCTCTTTAAAAAGATATCATTGATTATCCTCCCAATATAAATTTAAGCACACGCCCATTTTCATTCTCGTAACCGCTCACTAGATCTCCGACTGCGCTTCCTTCCATCACAAACCGCCATGGCAACCATAACTCCTCCGCTCTTCCTTACCCTTCTCTTCTTCTTCATCTTCTCAGGTACCCATTCATTATCCTTCTTTTTTCCCAATGATTTAATACCATTTGATCTGTTTTCATTCACTCAATCTTTAAATCGTCCGGGTTTTTTTTTTATAATTCAATAAACCAGTCTCTTCATTTTCATTCACACTTCTACAGAATCACATTGTTATTCGAATTTTACAGGTAGCGTAATATTGGAACCTGCAAATGGACAAGCACCTGCACAGGTACAAAAAAACTAGCCGCTCATCGCTCATGGATACCAATTTACTAACCCTTTTGTGATTATCGGTTTTTTTCAGCAAACTTGGTGTGTGGCAAAGCCATCGGCTTCTGATGTAGAACTGTATAATAACATGTATTACGCTTGCGGTTATGTGAACTGCGATGTGATACATCCACAAGGTGCTTGTTATGAACCTCAAGTTCTCATCAACCAAGCTTCTGTTGTCATGAACTCCTACTACCAAAAACAAGGAAGAAATTACTGGAATTGCGACTTCAACAAATCTGCTCTCATTACCATTATCGACCCAAGTAAGCCAAACTCTAAACTATCGACCCCACTTTGATGATTTGATGATTTGGTTAATAACGATGATCGTTGTTTTGCAGGCTATGGGAATTGCAAGTTTGACTCGCAGTAGGTGTTTAGAAGTTTAATTAATATGTGGCTTGGTAATAAGAGCGATGTCTTGAGGCTCATCGATTGTTGTGTTTTCATTAGTTGATGATTGATATTACAACAGTTTCATGTGTTTCTTGTTACTCATGATTATTGTGATTCATCAATCGATTTCATAATAGTGATTCGCCTTGTTATTTGTGTGTTGAGTGCTGACTAATTTGAATCATGAATGAGCAATTGATGGGAAATTCATGGCAATGGCTAGTGAAAAGAGATGGTTAATGCATGACATCCATCTCATTCCTAAAGCTGATCTCCAAGTGTTAAACACTCACATGGAAGTGCAGATAAAAACAAGTTTTACTAAAAATGAAATGGTGCATACCAACAAGGAATATAAGGATGGGCCTCTGTCACATTCTCCATGTAACATCAAATTTATATTTTTTTATAGATGTGTGATTTTTTTTACAAATGATTATGATATTAATCAATAAAACAAAGTAAGTTGTATTAAAGTAAGATGCAAGAGATAATCTTTGAATGTGTTTTTATTATTCGAAGATGTAATAACAAGATAATTTGTTATTTAAGTGTTTTCTAGGGTTCTATATTATTAGATAAAATAACTAAGAGCAAAGGTATTTTGTTCTAACGATTTTGACCATTTGAAGTAGTTCATTAAAAGGTTGTTGCCATTTTAATAAGAATTTTGTTTTTTGTTAATTTACTATAAATATACATTTTTCTTTTTAATATAACATCTTGATCCTCCATTCGTTAGTATCGTATTTTAATAAGAATTTTGTTTTTTTGTTAATTTACTATAAATATGTCTTATTAAATATTTAAAATATTCAATATAAAAATATAATATATATATATATATATATATATATATATATATATATATATATATATATATATAAATTTTGTTTTGTTACCCTTTGTTGAGATTGTAACACTAAGGTCCACCACTACAGCTAGGGACGAAACTTAAGGAGGGCCAACCAGCCAGTGGGGCCATCGACTTCTTCTTTTTTTGTCTTCTAACCACTAGTTACTAATAAAAAACTAGGTGTTTGTTTGCCGCGTGTTACGATGGCGGCAATATATTTGATGAATGATTGGTTGCATGTGTAAATTATATAAACTAAGGAAGAGACGTGTAGGTAAATGTCGCAACATACATACTCCCTCACAAAAGCAACTACCAAATATGAAATTGAATTTTAAGTACTGTATTGATAGAAGTTATGCATTATTGAATTTAATGGTAGATAAATATTTAAAGTCGGTACCATTGACCAACTCAAGTTTATATCGTCATACGAAAACATATTATATGTGAGCAAAGTCGTACGTAGGAAACATATAAAAAAAGTATAAAAACGTACACAAAATTTACGTCGAAACGTAAAGAAATTTGAATTTATATCGAAACATACATAAAATGAGTAATTAAGATTTTTTTTAAGTTAACAAATGGAAGATAAATAATCAAAAACATATTATATGTCATACTTAGGGATGTATATAACAATAAGGAGAAAGACTTTAAAAAAAAAATTAAGTCGTAGACAAACTCCAATGAATTATTATATAATACGGGGGACAAACATGAAATCTTAGAAAATAAAAGGGAGAAAATGATATTTTACCAAGTTAAAATTCGGAGGGTAAAACTCCCAATTTAAGAAATAGAAAGATTAAAAAATTTATTCATCGTACTATATTATAAATGAAGCATTTTTCTTTTCATCACATTCATTTCAAACTCCTATAACTTTTCAATTTCTTTATAATAATAATTATAAGCTGGTTAATAAGGTTAAATAAATATCAAACCTAAAGTGTAATCATATATAAAGTAAATTTCAATATTAAAATAATATATATAATTCTACTTATAAAGTTATGTTTTTTTTTGTAACTTTTAACATATTACACTTAATTTATTAGTTTTAATATAGTACTGGATGTAACCATTATCATTTTAAAGATACAATTTTGGAACAATTTGTATAAAACACTTAAATTATTAATTTAAATATAACATGATAGGGTCAACTTAAATATCAATTTTAATTTAACTTAAACAACCCAACAAATATTTTGTAAATAGTTAAAAGTGATAAATTGTAGTGTCTTTCTAATAATGATTATAAATTGGTTAATAATGTTAAATAAATATCAAACCTAAAGTGTAATCATAAATAAACTAAATTTCAATTTTAAAATAATATCTTTACTTCTACTTATAAAGTTATGTCTTTAACTTTTAATATATTATACTTAATTTCTTAGATTTAAAATGTTGTTGTATGTAAACCATTATCAGTTTAAAGCTACAACTTTTGAACAGTTAAGACAAAATATACTTAAATTATTAATTTAAATATAACATTAAAGTATCAACTTAAATATAAATTTCAGTTCCACTTAAAAAACCAAAGAATATTTTGTAAATAGTTAAAAGTGATAAATTGTAGTGATAAATGCAAAAATTAAATTGTAATCTCAATTTAACTAAAATATTTCCTAAAGATATATTTTTATAATCGTTAAAGTATTCAAATAAGTACCTTAAAATAATTCTATATAAATGATTATATTGTTATCTTTAAAATAAAAAAACAATGTTTGATGTTTTAAAAAATTATAATGATAGAAATTAAAATATTAAGCAAATAAATTTTAAAAAAGTAATTAACAATAACAACAACTATAAATAACATTAAATCATATATTATGTTTAATTTTATTCATGTGTAACTCGTGGGTAGAAGTCATTCAAACGATTGACTAAACTACAATATTAAAATCTCATATTATATTTCTATTTATAAAATTATGACTTCAATTTTTTAACATATTATAGTTAATTTATTAGTTTAAATATGTTGTCGTATGTGAGCAATTATCATTTTAAAGTCACAACATTTGTATAATTTATGAGTTGATGCAAAATAGTTCAATTATTAATTTCAATATAATATTAAGCAATTAACTTAAATCAAAATTTCAGTTAAACTTGAAAAAAAATCGAGAGACTGTTTTATAAATAGTTAAAGATTATAAATTATAGTGTTAAACCTAAATTGTAATCCAAAATTAAAAAAAAAAAAAAAAAAAAAAAAAAAACCATGAAACTATTTTTTATAATCGTTAACAATTTTCAAATAAATAGTTTAAAATAACTTACAATAAGAATAGTTAAACACATTCATTTGAAACTTCCATGACTTTTCAATTTCTTTATAATAATAATTATAAGTTGGTTAATAAGGTTAAATAAATATCAAACCTAAAGTGTAATCATATATAAACTAAATTTCAATATTAAAATAATATATTTACTTTTACTTATAAAGTTATGTCTTTTTAACTTTTAACATATTACACTTTGTATAAAATACTTAAATTATTAATTTAAATATAACATTATACGGTCAATTTAAATATAAATTTCAGTTAAACTTAAACAACCCAAAAAATATTTTGTAAATATTTAAAAATGATAAATTGTAGTGTCTTTCTAATAATGATTATAAGTTGGTTAATAAAGTTAAATAAATATCAAACCTAAAGTGTAATCATAAATAAATAAAATTTAAAATTTAGAATAATATATTTACTTCTACTTATAAAGTTATGTCTTTAACTTTTAATATATTATACTTAATTTATTAGATTTAAAATGTTGTTGTATGTAAATCATTATCAGTTTAAAGCTAAAACTTTTGAACAGTTTGGACAAAATACTTAAATTATTAATTTAAATATAACATTATAGTATCAACTTAAATATAAATTTCAGTTCCACTTAAATAACCAAAGAATATTTTGTAAATAGTTAAAAGTGATAAATGCAAAAACTAGACTGTAATCTCAATTTAACTAAAATATTTCCTAAAGATATTTTTATAATCGTTAAAAGTTTTCAAATAAGTAGCTTAAAATAATTCTATTTAAATGATTATATTGTTATCTTTAAAATGAAAAAACAAAGTTTGATGTTTTAAAAAATTATAATGATAGAAATTAAAATATTAAGCAAATAAATTTTAAAAAAGTAATTAACAATAACAACATTTATAAATAACATTAAACCATATTTTATATTTAATTTTATTCATTTGTAACTCACGGGTAGAAGTCATTCAAACGATTGACTAAACTACAATATTAAAATCTCATATTATATTTCTATTTATAAAATTATGACTTTAACTTTTTAACATATTATAGTTAACTTATTAGTTTAAATATGTTGTCATATGTGAACAATTATCATTTTAAAGTCACAACATTTGTATAATTTATGAGTTGATGCAAAATAGTTAAATTATTAATTTCAATATAATATTAAGCAATTAACTTAAATCAAAATTTCAGTTAAACATGAAAAAAATCGAGAGACTGTTTTATAAATAGTTAAAGATTATAAATTTTAGTGTTAAACCTAAATTGTAATCCTAATTAACAAAAAAAAAAAACCATGAAACTTATTTTTTATAATCATTAACAATTTTCAAATAAATAGCTTAAAAATAACTTACAATAAGAATAGTGAAAAGTAATATTATATAAAAAAAACTATAATATATTCTTTAAAAACAAAAACAATGTTTTTTGTTTTAAATAACTATAATCATAGAAACTAACAATATTCATCAAATAAATTTTAAAAGCGTTAAATTTCTAAAACCAAATTAAAATAATTAAGAGTTTCGAAATACGTTATTTTAAATAAATTACAACAACAATAGTTAAAAGTAAAAATTATATACAAAAATTATATTGTTGTCTTTAAAAACAAAAACAATGTTTGATGTTTTAAATAATTACAATTATAGAAATTAAAATCTTAAGCAAATAAACTTTTTAAAATTAATTAATCATAACAACAAATATAAATATAATTAAATCATATATTATATTTAATTTTATTCATAAGTAACCTACAGGTAGACATCATTAAGACACTTAGGGTTATATAATTTTAAAAGATATTTG